TGAGAGTCTGGCTGGCCGGTTAGGCCGGGCCCCACACAGCCCCCTCACGATGGGATCACTGACCTGGTCGGCCCAAGGCTGTCCTTTCCACAGGCTGCTCCAGAGGTGGCAACAGCTGCACCATGGAGTTTGCTTCTTCCTCAGCTATCCTTCAAACGCTAGCTTTGGGCAGCAAACCACAGGGGCATTCTTCATACTTGTTTTGGCCAAGGGCCCTCAGCAAGCGCTTCCCCGAACGGTGGTCCTGGTGGCCTCTGCGCCACCCCTGTCTGGAGGTGGAAGATGTCTGCTGGGCCTCGGTGGCTTCCTGGTATCCATCAGCCCACGTGTGTCCTGGGGGTCTTGGATGGAATGTGGCACAGCAAGAAAGTGATGGAACAACCTTTCTCTAGACCACTTACCCCTATTACCATACATTCAGATGTTTCCAAGCTTTTCCTTTGAATCATGCTCTATTCTTTCATAAAAAGGAGATGTACTTGTCCCTGTCCACCCAAAGGAATTTCCTACATCCTCTACTATTTTCTTAGGCAGTTTGTTGACAGGAAAATGTCCATCTACCCTTTTAGGGTGCTATCTCATAATCCTTTAAGACAGCTCCCTTTGAGTGACTGGGGAGAATGGGCCTTTGGGCTAACAGAGAAGCAGCTGCCAGTCTCAGTGTTGAAAGGTGAATGGGAGCAGAAGCAGCAGCTTTGACTGAGTTGTGAACAAAGAATATTTTTCTCCCTTGACCTATTTTCTGTCACCATCCAGTATGACCTATTTATGGAGATGAGCTAATTATAGCAGCAGAGGGCGCTGCAAGGTCACAAACAAAGCTTCCCACCTGATAGGAAACCGAGAGGGAGGTCTCTTGAGCGGTGCTAGTGATCAAGAGCCAAGCAGTGAGACAAGAGTGGCCTTGTTTACCAGCTCCCACCAGGGTCCCCACCAGGTCCCAGCACCCCTCTTCAATGGTGGTTTTGGGCTCATGAAGGGTGGTCTGGGCCACTTGCTGGGGAGCTGCTCAGGCTGCAAGTGTCAATAAGCTTAAGTGAGATGGGTAGAGAAATTCAAGGGCAAGAAGTCCTTAATAGGTCGCTAAATCTTATCCTGAAACTTTAGTTGTACACTGTGGTCTCTAATAAGCAAGACTGTTGCAATTTTTGGAAAATATCAAGAGAGTGGGCTGGAGGGCTCATTTCTCATGTTCCCCACTCTCTTAGGGATTTGGGAAGAGCACCACTGGCTCTGGTCTTGGGGAAATGCAGAGCTCTCTGTCATGCTTGCTGCATTGACAGAAAATTGAAGATGTGAGTCATTTTTTTTTTTTTACCATTGATTGGCATAACATATCTTTTGCCAGGTTTCACAACTTCACATTTTAGATTTACTTAGCATCTTTTCTCTGAACATCTTAGATGAGAACAAAACTCTCAGGAACTATATTCATCAGTCTAATGAAAATGATGATGATAGCAACAGTAACAGCTAATGTTCCTCGCTCATTTTGTGGGCGTAGTACAAGTGTTATTTCATTTAATTTTCCAATGTCTTATGAAAAATCTATCATTATTATCTCTATTGTACAGATGGAGAAATTTGGGTTTGCAGGCTTGAGGTCATGTTTAAGGTCATACAAGTAAATGTTGGAGCTGATAAGAACCCAGGTGATCTGGTTCCAGAACCCCACTCTTCTGTTTTTATTAATTAAAAATATTTAATTAAAATATTTTCTCAGCTTTATTGAGATATATGACATATATAGTGTAAGTTTAAGGTGCATAATCTGTTGATCTGATGCACTTTTATATTGCAAAATGATCACCACCATATCCTTAGCTGACTCCTCCATTATGTCACAAAAGTACCATTTCTGTTTTGTGGTGAGAACATTTAGGATCTACTCTTTCAGCAATTTTCAAGTACATAATGCATATTTTTAAGTATAATCACCATGCCATACATTAGATCCCCAGAACTTGTTAACCCTATAACTGGAAGTTTGTACCTTTTGATCAATACCTCCTCATTTCCCCCATCGCAGCTCCTGGTGAACACCAATCTACTCTGTTTCTATGATAGAATCTCACTCTAGATCATGATATTGCACTGCTGTTCAGAAGGGACACCTTTCAAGGAATGTGGGAAAGACACCATGGTGGAGAAAGTCATAATTATGCCACCCCAAGGAGGGCTCAGTGTCTGAACCCTGTGTGTGAAGCATCAGGGAGAAGGTGTGCCCTTCAGTGTGAGGGTCTCTGAAGCCCTCTGCTCTGTTCTCGGGGGTGGTCAGGTCAGATGTAATTGAGGTTGGCAGTCAGAAGAGGAGTAGCAGTTTGATTTAGAAGTTGTTAGTGCCTAGATCAGGAAGGAAACATGTAGCTCTTACAAACATTAATCCTGGAGACAGCTTTAGAGTAGGGACAGACAGTGGAAGCCTGAGTGGGTGCTGGCAGTCTTCCACTTTGGAGATTTGGAATTTCTGAGGTGGTCTTCCGCCTGCAGAGGGCTGCGTTCCAGGGAGGGGACCTTGCCTGCAGGCGGCAGTGCAGGACTGGGCGGCCTCAGTTGCTAACCGTCCCTCTTCCACAACCCTGCGGATGCTCACAGTGGGGCTTTGGACTGCCCGGTGATCACTCACGGTATTCATGTCTAGGGCTGCCAGAGAAAATACAAGATGCCCTGTGACATTTGAATTTCAGATAAACAATGAATACTTTTTTAGTATAAATATGTCCTAAGCAAAATTTTTTTGGTGTTCTTTTGAAATATAAACTTAACTGGGGGTTCTGTATTTTTATTTGCTAAATCTGGCAAGCTATTCATGCCAATGGTGAGTTTTTGAGTGAAGAGAGTTGCATTCCTTTATTCCACATATATTTATTGATTGTCAGTGATGTGGCAGACATGATCCTAGGGGCTGGGGATATATCAGTGGAAAGATAAACAATACTTTGCCTTCATGGAGCTTGTATTATGGTGTGTGTGTGGCAGGGTGAGATGGGAGAGACAAATAATAAACGTGCATAAACCCAATGGTTTCAAATAGCGTTGTGAAGGAAAATCCGACAGAGATGTAAGAAGGGTGATTCTGGGTGAGTCGGTGACAATTTACTTGGCCGGGGAAAGCCTCGTTGAACTGAGGTTTGTGACGAACTGGAAGCCACATTCAGGTGGTTAGAAAAGTGAGGTGACAGAGGACCAGGAAGAAGACACCACAGCTGGATGGGTGTGGGAAGGAAGAAGGGGGTATGCTGGGAGACTGGATAGGAGGTGGTGACCAGACCACTGGCAGGGCATTACAGTTCTGGAAGGAGGTCCAGCTGGCTTCGTCTGATGTACATTTCATAAAGACCTGGAGAAGAGATTTTCCAGGGACAATGGGCCCAGTTAGGGGGTTATTGCAGGGGCCCTGACAAAATGATGGAGCTTGCAGGGTCTGGTGACAGTGGTGACAGAGACAGTGGATGGACTGGAGGTCCTTCACAGAAGGACCCATAGGATGTTCTGATGAATTAGATGTAGGAGAAAGGGACACAAAGGAACACCTAGAAGTACTCCTAGGCTGGGGAGTTAGTCAGTGTTCTATTTTTCAGGGCAGTGCCTCCTAATGGTAGCCTGTCCTAGCTTACACAGCAAACAATATTTGCATGACTTGTGGCTAGGATGGGCTGGCCTCAGGGAATCCAGCCACCCCAGACCCCAGCGGCCACACTGAGCACTACTGCAGCAAGCTTGTGACGCTGGGAGTTCATCCAGCAGGAAGCTCTGCTTTAGGGGAGAACTGTCCAGCTGGAGCCGAGTGTGGGCTGCAGAGGGCCTGATGAGCGATGGAAGGTCATGCTGTGTGACAGGCAGTAAGCGTGCTCTGGATCAGGGTACTCCCTCAAGCATCAGAGACAGAAGATTTCTAGAACTTGGGGCTTGGAGAGATTTTAGATCGGTCTTGTCCAACCCTCTTCTCCTCCGTCTCAGGTGCTCATTCACTTCCTCAGTTTATGAGTACTGCACGTGCCTGCAGCCGTGCTGGGTGCTGGGTGATGGTGCTGCTCAGGGGGTGACCTGTCTGTAACCTGAAGACATGGAAATGGGATGGGAGAAACCCACTTACATAGCAATTTGGTATCTCAGCATGTGACTGCTGGGCTGGCAGTTTTTATGTATTTTCTTTTTTAAATTTATTTTCATTGTGTTTTACAAAAGGATTAGTTCAAGATGGACTGAGGACAAAAATAACAATTACAGCAACAGTTTCTTGGCTGGAAGCATCTGCCTCAGGGAGTCACAGCCAATCAGTCACGGCCAATCAGTAGGTGCCGATCGGGCACCTACTTCTGCTTGTTCCCTCCCACCTCCTTCCCGTCAGTAGCCCTAGATGGTCTCAGAGATTTCAGGAACCTGGTTTTATTCTGTATCCTCTACCCCGACATGTAAAGAAGATGATGCTTTTGGCCTTTAGCCTTTTGTTCTGTGAGCGCGTCCATTTGCGGCCTCCCTCTTGTCTTTCCCTTCCCTCTGACTTTAATGGCTCAGCCTCTTTCTCTTTCACAGTGGGTTTTCCAGCTCTCTGCTTTGACTTCCTTCTCTGTTGTCCTCCCTGCCTCTGCCCAGAGCATTCCCTCTGGGGGGCTTGTGCTGGGCCCATACCTGCAGAGTGCAGGAACTCACTATTTTCTCCTTTTCTTCACAGACAACCGTGTGCTGTGTGCCACAGTGACCCAGGGTTCTCCGGACCAGACTGTGACAAGTGGCAGTAAGGTGACACTGCTCTGCACTTACAAGACCTCAGACTCAGACCCAGACTTATACTGGTACCGGATAAGGCCGGATCATTCCTTTCAGTTTATCCTGTACAGAGATAACACTGAATCGGAAGATGCAGAGTTCACTCAGGGCTGGTTTTCTGTGCAGCACAGTCAGACCCGGAAAAACTTCCATTTGGTGATCTCCTCAGTGGAGATTGAAGACAGTGCCACTTACTACTGTGCCTTGAGGTCCACGGTGATGTAGGTGCCAGGAAGTCTGCACAAAAATCCCTGTGTCCCAGGGCACAGCCTGGGACAGCTACCTCTCAGGGCTGCTCATGTCTTTGAACATGGGGTCCTTCTTCCTGGTGACTTCTTGTTCCAGCCTGGCCTTTAGCAGGGCCCTAATGTGTCCTCTGCTGGCATTCTTGATTACTTGGCTCTGCTCACAGCAATGTCCCCACCTCACTGAGTCACTTTGGACAAGGTATGTAACTTTTTTGGGGGGATGTATATTATTCCATCTGGAAAATGAAAATGTGATCTGTTTGTTCTTAGCCACTTCTCAAGAACATCCTCATTTTACCCAAGGTAAGGTATGTGAACGTTTTGGAAAAGGCCTTCTTTACACGTAAAAGGTGAAGTTGTGGGGAGGCTGGATGGACGTGCCTTATCCGTCTAGATTGTCCTAAACCCATTGACTCAGAGTGCTGCTGACGCCTTCCTTTGCGAAGAAAGGAGCTGCGAAGTCACAGGGTGAGCCCTGCAGATGGCAGTGGCAGAGGCAGTTGCTGGGAAGTGTTGCTTTTCCACCTGCAACCTCATGAGGCCCCTTGACTGCGCACGTAGGCACAGAGGAAACCACACCAAGTTCCAGGGCTCTGTTACCTGAGTGGGTGCGTCTGGAAAACACCGTGGCCTTGCTGGGGTGGGAGTGACGGAGCGTTTCAGCCACACAGGTGACGTCTCCACTCTGGGAACACAGCCACGCCAGCAATGCAGCAGCACTGGGGATGCAGCTCCGCCAGGGGCACTGCTGTTGTCTTGCTGTAATAGCAGCAGCAGGAAACCTGGGGCTGGGTCCCTAAGGCAGGAACCTGCAGGCTTGGGGCACAGGAAGCTGCGGTGTGACCTACAAGCTCAGTGTGGCTTTTGCCTAACAGTTCACGGCCCCTACTCTCCCCCTGCGGTGGTCCACTATGAGTCAAACCAGAGGCAAGTGACACACAATGCACTTTAAGAAATGCAACAGAGCCCATTTCAGGGAATGGCAGGAAACCATCAACACCAAGGGCCAGGCAAGAGTCAGGGTTCAGTGACCTCAAACTCCCCGTGCACAGATTGCAGGCAAAAGACAGTAAAGAAGCTGTTTTTACAGAGCAACTTCAGGGGCTCATTCCTCTCCCTCCCTCCCAAACCCCTGGTATGGTGGGCTACTTGAGAACAAGCCCATGTCTCATGCACATTTACACCTTCAGTGCACAGCCTGAAGCTTAAAAGGAGTTGATTTGTGTTTGTTAAGTCAATTAATAAAAAAGTGCATTTCCTCTGTATTTTACTCTGATCTCTGTGAATAGCTTGGGGAGTATTTAGAGGAAACTGTAGAAACCCTGCTGCCTGCACAGAGAGTATCCGGGAAGTCAAATGTAATTTTGTTTGTAAAGTATTAGGAAAAGCAGAAACTGGGTGAGAATGCCAGTTTGGGTCAAATCTAGTGCTGGGTTGAGCAGAGCCTTCCATGTTTAGGTAAAGGGCACCTGCTCTCCTCCCCCGAGGGCAGATTTTCCTCTTGGAAAACGGAGCTGGGTTTCTCTTGGCTCCCACTTTCTTCTTCTGGAGGCAAAGAAAGTCAAAGGAACAAAATATCATTTTCAAAGTCCATCAGTTGTTGAAATAAAAAATGAGTCCTATATCCTTTTATAAAGCAGCATATAAAGCAGTTAAGACCATAACCCCCACTCCTGGGACTTTTGTCTTTTCACCAGGCTGAAGGGTGATCTGTGATAGTTGCTTTCAAAGGAAAACTGGTTTGGGTAGCAGCCATTTAAGTAAAGGTGGCACAGGTTAAATTGAATTGCCGAAAAGTCAGAAGCCTAGCAGGTAGCACCTCTGTGGGCTCTTGATTTCTTTCAGGGAGTGTAGCGTTCTCCTGCTAGATGGCCTGCAAGTGAAGGAAAATTGTCAGAGTTGTTAGAGAATCACAGACTGCCCATGCTGGGAGGAATCAGAGTGGTTCTGTAGTTCTGGGGATGACCAGTCCTTGCTGGGGCTGTACCCTGCGGACATCACTAATCTACTGCAGCATGGCAGTAGTTCAGTGACTGCCAGTCTCAGTTTATCCAATGCACAAGTCACAAAACCCGTTGCTCTCTTTTAGGCATTCTTAACACCTTGTTTTCACAGATGCAAAACCCAGGCCCAGAGAGGCCAAGATAACCTGGTGAATTAGTGACAACGTCAGGACTAAAACCCAGATTGGTAGTGCTCTTTTTATGCAGCCACACTGTGTGTGCTATTGGGACTGTTGGTTAAACAGTCACCTGTTTGGGAATGACTTGGTATTCTTTCAGGCTGGGTTGGATCGGTCCAACACTCTAAGTAAGCCTTGGATTGTTCTGAGACTGGAAGTATTGGAGTATTGGAACTGAGGAGTATTGGAGGGTACTGGAGAAGGAGCTGCATAGGCAAACTAGGCCCTGGTTCCAATTTCATATCTAAGATTACCTAAAGAGGGAATGTAAGTAACAGGCAAATAATTAACGTCTCAGCCCTGAGTGCCGAGTAGTGGCTGTCCACTACTAATGGGGGAGTAGCTTCATCTCAAAGATAGTCTGATCTATGTATGAGAGTCCTATGATTTAGAATTGGGAGCTGTATTCCCTTTGTCTAGGAAAAGACAGGTTTTCCCCCCTCTGAATATTCTTCATGTGAAGCTTTACTGATAGCTTTGCAAACAACCCATGGTCCTTGGCCAAGTAAGTGAAACAGCAAATGAAGAAAACTATTTCTCCTTATTTATCTTCTGGTTAGAGCTAGGGGTTACTGACTGATACTACATTATACTACCTAATGGGTTTTGAGTCTGGCTTGCAGTGAAAGAAAGGAAAACAGGAGACAGGGTGTCATGCTGTCTGAGATGATCCACCTTATTAAATTGTAATATGTCTCTGTGTTTTTTCCCTTCCCAGTGATTCTTGGTCTCTTACCATTTCTAAGTTCCTTTTCTCCATGTGCAAAATAGTTTGGGTGGAGGTAGGAATAAGAAGCAGCTAATTCTTACCTTAAAAGAAAAATAACTTGGCAGTCAAAAGAAAATTTATGGCCACACTCTTGGCAAACAGCATCCGGAGCCCCAGCACTGTGAGAGACAGCATGTTCACCTTTTCGGCATGAACTGTGGTTCCACAAGAGAAAAGATGGTGGTTTCAGCAACAGACTAAATTCCCTTCCAGAAATTGGGTCCACAACACTGTCACCAGCTGTCCCAGATTACCATAATTTTCCCTGGTCTACAAGCCCAGCTTGATGCCAGACAGCCCTAACGCTGCTGCTCACACTGCACCAGGCAGGCTTTGGGATACCATGCGTGCAGTCAGGCAAGTTCTGCTGCTGGGGGAGTCAGCTGGGCTCAGGTATGGCTTTTGTTCTCTTTTGAAATCTGATGGTTTTTGGCCCCATCTGACAACTACAGAGTTTGCCTTAATCCTCAGTCCTGAAGTTGGCCCTTTGATTTCAACTAACCTTTGGGTTCACGGCAGATCCCTGAAGTTTGCTTTGTGCTTTCAGGCTCCTTCGGCTTTAGTTTACCTGGAACAAACAGCAGTAGTCAGAGTTACACTGGCAACCAAGAGGCTCAGAGGATATCAGGTCTTAAAACTGGTAGAGATTTTAAGCAAGTAAACTGAGGACCAGCCGTGTGACTTGGTTAAGGTTATATAGCTATTTGCACAGCCAACATACTACCCTTCCTGGGCTCATCCCATTATGCTATGAGGCCAGCCTCCAGGTATGCCTCTAATTTGTAGGAAGAAGTAGGATTCTTAATAGCATGATAGGCTGGGCTGCTCTTTGTTTTGGCATTTATGCTAGATTATACTTCATGTGGATTGTCAATCCCAGAGCCTAGTAGTAGGATAGCCATTAGCATGAAGAAGACAGTGGTTGGTGCAGAGTAAAGATGGGGATGAAATAGGTTGGGCTTTATCTTAGACTCCAGCTCAGGGATGCAGAGAGTTTAAGTCCCAGTCAATGATGGGCTGTAGATGGGCCTGACTCTTGTTCCTAGCATGATGCTATATTGAAAGCAATCTGTCAAGAGCTTCTATCTCCAAGTTTCCTTTCCCCCAACTTTTCTCCCCTACAATCCCAGCTCTTTAAGACCAGGTACAACCTACTTGAAGAATTTGTCTTCGGTTCAAAGTCAGTGGAGTGCAAAATTTCATCGTTATGTTGAACTGAGCATGTCACTGAGTTTGGATCTTCATACCGACCGAGCTTGACAGCATTGTACTTCCCACTGGGAGACACGACAACAGCTGGGTCAAATTCTATTATTTTCTTGGATGAGTTGATATTTATATTTACATCCTTGGGGTAGAAATCCTTCACCAGACAAGCAACATTCGTCCCATTTTTCATGATGAAAACGGATGGTTTGGCAGGAGGCTGCCTTTCTGCAAATACAATCAATTTATTTCATGAGATGATTATTCACAACATGTGGGAGTTACACAGTGGTGTTTGCTTCAATTCCCGTGGCAAGCACTGCAGTGCAGGGTTCCTGCATCCTGTTAGTGACCTGGGCTTGTTAACACCTCTGTGAAAGAATGGCCAAGGGAAGCGGAAGTGAAAGGCAGATGGTTTGACTTCAGTTAGGAGCTGCTAAGAGAGATGGCTGGAAGCAGAGATGGAAAGTAACAACTACAAAGGAGTTTCTAGATCATCTGAGTTTCAATTACAGATATGCAGGCTGAATATGTGTCTGTGTCAGTTGGTTTATTTTAAATGCATGAACGCTTGGAGTGAGATCGGAGCAGGCACCCATGCTTTGCATTATGTCAATTAAAAGAATCAAGAGTCTGAGAAGGACCATATAACTGGTTCAAACACTCTCAGGGTAGTAGTGTTGGGTCACCTCAGAGAGTCATCTCCATTTTATGGACTGGATGGGATCTGCTGCTTAATTGGTTAAGTGGCACACCTCTCTGCCTTTAGGTGAACAGGTACTCTGTTGTAAGGGACTACCCTGCAGTTTCCTTTGAGTATTTAATCAGAAATAACACCTATCATTCTCAGGAAGTCCTTTACACATAACATCAGTTTAAACCCAGTTCTTGCTTTATTTCAGGAGGAGCTGTGGGACATGGGTCTCAGTTGCTGGTCTACTCCCGGCCCTTCTCCTCTCATGCTTCACCTTGCACCTGTCTGCTGCTCTGCATATGCATCTTTTTTCTTTTCTTAAATTGAAAGCCTTGAAGCTTGAGGGAGGTAGCAATGATTTTTTCCCCATTGTGCCTTACTGAAGTTTCTGAAGTGTGATAAATTTTTTTTTCTGTGGAGACTTGGATTCTTAGGCTATCTGCTAAATAAAAAACCCTGAATAAGTCCCAGATCAGGAAAGACAACTAGCTTCTGAATGGTGATCTGAATATATTGTCAATCATAGCTTAACTGCTGATTTTCAATATGGCTCTAATATTTAAGACATAGGTGAGTTTGGCTTCTTGATAGCCAATTAGAAATGTTGAATTCCAGTGTACTTCTATCTATTACTGCCTGCAATCAAGGCACAAGGTGATGATAAGGAAAAGGTCTTGATAGTGAATGTAGAAATGCCATGGCCTTTCTAATGCTCTATCCTGAATCTGGATTTGGGCCTCAGCAGCAAAGTGCAAATCAATTGGTTATTTCTGGTTGAGAGAGAATGTCTGCTAGTCAGGAAGTTCCTCCTGATCACCACTTTGTAAATGGCCCATGGCCCATCAGGGCTTTCCTAGGCAATCAGCTGTTCTGAGAAAACCCCTCATCACTAACTAACACCACATAGTTCTTCATTTTTTTCCCGCTGTCTGGAGCTCAGCTAAAAGATTGGATTCTGTCCCAGTTACTCGGGGCAGGAAATTCATTCCTAAGAATCTGGCTCCTTGTATTTTTGCCTTTAGCGCTAGACAGGAGAGGAATTGGAGGCTCTTCAAAAGGTTCTCCTGGAATCTGCTTTCAACTACGTGAGAAGTCATAGTTTTGTTTCCCGGCATAGCTGAAGCCACTGATAACAGACGCTGATAACTCTAGCAGTAACGGAAACCACAAGTTCTGCTCATTCATCAACCTCCAAAATTTTGACATTTCTTGCTCACTCTACTGACTTTTGTGAGATGTATTCTGGTTGATTTTCAAGGCAGTTACGAGTTATAGAGAAAAGAAAGCAGTCCACTGAAAACCAAAACCAAAATGACCCTATCTCCTTGGTTACCTGACCAATCCTAGACTGATTAAGTTGGATAATTAATTTTAAAATTTAAATTCAAAGGCGGTTGTCAATGATCATTTTGAGATGGAGTAACCAGGTTTGAATAATTTGAACAATGTAATATAGCTTAAAGGACAGGTGTCTGAAGAAGTTCATACACTGATGATACTGAGCTCTGTCTCTTGGTCAGCCCTTCAGATAGACATTTGGTAAAGCATTTTTCTCAGGCCCTCTTTCTCAATGAACATCTATCTGTTCAAAACAATTGTTTGAAAGTAAAGTACTTTTTGTAATCCATTCTTTGGTACTGTGGTAACCATAGAAAAACCACCTGACTGAATTGAACCCTTTAAAAAAATGCAATGCATTTAACATAGTTATCATATATAACCTAGTTTTTTTTTATATTTGACTTAAACCAAAATTTGAAGTTGTATAAAATTAGCACTATTGTAGTCCAAGATTTAAATTAAAGATTTGATTGTATATCTTTTGAGAACTTCCAGTCTTCTTGGTCCACAAATATAATTACATTTCAACATGTATTTCAAAGTGCTATTTGTTTTGGACAACTGTTATTTTATTTTCAGACTTTCTTTCTTTTTTTTACAACTACCAATGCAATGCTAAACTATGTGCTGGTAAACATAACAAAAAGAAGTATATGCCTTTCTTGAATGGTCTTTCTTATTCAGAAGCTTAGAAATCATCTGTGTTTTGGATTCACACAAAGTCCTACTGGTTCCCCGAGAACTGCTGCATCTATAACACATCACTCATAATTTCAAGGCCCTCTGCCAATATGAGATTTAACTTGAATACTGAAATATGTTTGTTCTACTTGATTACTCTGCCCACGTTAACCACCTCTCTCCTAAATTTTTCCAGTTGCAGGACATTAGTTTTCAGGCTGCAGTGAGGCATGTACACTGGTGAACTTAGCCAAAGGGATGTGTAAGAATGAAGCAACTTCTTAGGGAATTTGGGCCAAAGTGTCCCTGCCACTGCCCACCCCCCCACCCATATACTCAATTCATCTAGATTTCTTTGGGCTTTTGGGATGCTGTGAAGATTTCATAAATAAGTGAGAGCTATAGTTTTAACATATGTTTCTTAAAAACAAGAATAGTTACAGAGCTACTTCAGTAACTCAGCCTAAGGTCTTTACTCTGGCTCCCTCCACATCTGTACCATTCCATCTCCTAGTTATGTAATGCAAACTGGATAGGAGCCCCAGTACCAAGACTCAATTTATTCCTCCAAATATACGAGAAGAAATCAACTCACGGGACTCCACGAAGAGTTTGGTGCCAGCTCCAAAAAACATCTGCCGGGTGTCCCAGGAGCACACTGGATGCTGCCTCACAGGTAACCAGCCTGGGGCTGGCTCTGGGCTACCCCATCTGTGCCCTGCCTCCCAGCCTAGAGACTCCACAGCTCAGGGGACTACAAAGTTGCCCTTGATGAGATAAAAGGGCTGAGTGCTCAGAGCCTCAGTTCCCTTTGAAGATAATAATAGATTAACTGCTAGATAAGGATGTAAAAATGAAATCCCTAGCCAGGAAACCCTGGGACAGGGAAGAGGGCTGAGACAGAGCAAGAGAAGAGGGTGAGAGGTGACTGATATAGCTGCCTTCAAAATAGAACATTGAACCCCCAGTTTATTGGGAGGCCTCTCCAAGTAGAACACAATAACTCAGGAGTAGGGACGGAATGCTGAATACTGACATTTCTTGTAATGAATGTCAGGCCATGGACTGTTTAGATACAAATCTTGTACTCAAATTTCGGTTCCCTTCTCTTGGGTCACAAATACTGCTTTTTGATTAGAAACCTAATTTCTCCCCTATCACTCAGACTGAGTCTCACAATCATAACAAATCTGCTGCTTAATTCCCTGAGCCCAATGACAGGCTTTTGAAGGACCTGAAGATTGAACAAGAAATTGGTAGCTGACAGGGGAGCTCAGTGGTGCTGTGTGTCATGGATGCAGGGCAGAGAAGCCAGTGCCTTCTTTAGACTGCTTGTGTTTGTTTTATAATTTCTCCTGACTCTGTATTCTAGATACAAGCTTCAGGAGGATGTAGGAATCATGTGAAATGGGACTGAAAAGACCATATAGATTACTCTGCTTCATTACCCAAAATCAAGAATCTAGGACTAGAGCCAAAGGTAGTGACAGTTGTATAGGGTCACTATTTGCTGTCACAACTTTAAGGACTGGGGAATGATCTGAAATCCTCATTCCCCCTGCCTGAGTGTCACATCATGTTACCCTCCATCACTGCAGGAAGAGAAAACCAGAGAAATAAACTAAATATCATTGGGGAGCATGAGTCAGCCTCCTGGTAGAGGGACTAAGCATCAGTTTCATCCTTTCCTTCCTCCCTAAGATGCCCAAAGGCACAGCCTCAGAGATGTGATTCTAACACTGCAGATAATTCTGAATTTCAAGTGGAAATGATTTTAAGGAAAAATGAAACACAATACTTTTTGCTCAGCTGCAATTTGCCCAACATCAATCAAACTGCAATCAGCTACAACATGATTCTGTTTCCCCCCTTTTCATTGCTCCAATCTCTCTCCCCTCTAAGATAAGAAAATGCACCAAATTCCACTATTTCCCTGGAAGCAATAGGCAATCAAGAACCTCTGTATGTTTATATTATCCTCTCATAGGCAGAGACCATGTTGACACTATCAGTCACTTTCAGGCTGTCAGCCCTGCCATTCAGGTACCTTTCCCCACTTTCTCCAAAATAGACAACATCAGAATCTAACCGCATAAGGGATAATGCTTCCCCTATTGGACTTGGCATTTTGGAAAGCTTCTGAAAGACTGTTGTTCTCTAGGCTAGTCTCAGTGACTGACCGTTGGCACTACCTAAACTCCCTGAAGATAGCCCCTGGATTTCCAAATGCTAGAACAAATCCCTAGAGGACAGTGACTCAGGGAGAGCATCATTACTTCTCTATTGTCCTGAAGTTGGTGGCTGTGCTTCTGCATTGGATGTAGGCTCCCAAATTCTGGAGAGAGTCCTCAGATTCAGGGTTAATGGGGAGATGAGGGTATAACTGCTCTTGGCAGACCCAGATGAGGATGGGAACTTGAAGATCATTCATTTAATCTGAGGTAGGTACATTGATCCAATGATGTTCTCAGCAAGAAAAGATAAAGGCAAGATTGGCTTTTGTCATCTGAGGGAGAGAAGACTCTCTTGATCTAACTCCTTCTTTAATAATATTTTTCTTTCTAACTCTCCCTCTTCCTACACTGCGCCCATGACCCTTTTTCCTCATAAACAGTGAGAGGCTTTCCTCATCTAGACCTTGCATTTTTCTGGTTCCAGCTCCTGACCAGGTGGCCAGAAGCCTGGCTAAGGACCTTATTTAAGCAGTTGTAGAATACTTATCAACACTAATCCTCAGAACAGAGTTTCCAAGCACACAGAAAATTTTCCTTAGAGAAACCTAATGAATTTGTCCTCAAATTGTATCCTGACTCTTTGCAACATCATCATCATGGATTTGACTTTAGAACCAACCTCCTGATTTTCCAAGTAGCTCCATTCAGTCAGGACTATGTTATGACAGCTCCAAGGCAATATATGCACTGAAGTGAAATGCACAACTTACTTGGTTCCACGGTAAGTTGGGTCCCACTTCCAAAGGTGAGCTGTTTTGCTGAAGCACCACTTCAGGCATTATTACAAAAACCTTGCTACTTATTTTCCCTCTGTCTGGTCTGTCTGGAAGTGGGTGGGTACAGCAGAGCAAATGAAGCTGGAGACAGAATTTTGCAAGCGTTTCTGAGATCTAAACATGGTATTTTGGCAGCTTGTTTGATGTGTATTGTCTTCTGAGTGTCGACCTTTAGGGAAGTCCCTGGGTTTTCTGCTATTATCTCAGCCTGCCATACCTTACCCCCAGATCTTGCCTCAGGATCACATTTTCATGGGAAGAAGTGAGTCATTTTGGTTTTACTGAGAGTTGCCAAACAGCATTTGTCAGCAGAAAGGCTAAAGTCAATCGCAAGGACTGTGCCTCAGTCAGAGGTAGGAGGGCATGGTGATTGGGGAAAGAACCATTGATGTAAAAGACTCAGTCTGTCCAAAGCTTCATAATAATTACAATGGCTACCATTGTGTAAGTACTTCACTACTTACAGACAGATAGTATCTCATAGTATCTCGTGTTTATTTGACTCCAACAAATATGATCATAACAGATCCCATGAAGGGACACTATGAGGTCCATCTTACAGATGCAGTCACTGAAGCTAAGAATGGGGTAAGATAGTGGGTGGCTGAGCTAGGCCTCACTCTCAGGTCTCCAGACTCTAGTTTCTACCCATTGAACCAGAGTACTAAATGATAGGACTGGAAGGAACCTCAGCTGTCACTTGTCAAAACCTCTGTGGTCACAAAGGACTAACTAATGGATGTATCGGGAGAGCTTCAACTCCTTTTCCAGTGTCTCTCTTGTGAAGCCACAGAATTCCTACTGGGTCATAAGACAGTCACATCACTGAACTTGCTTGCTTTTCCTACTAAATTGTCCCTAAGAATTGGTCTGGATGGTAGTCAGGATCATAGCATGCTAAAGCTAGAAGACACCTCAGAAATCTTTTGGTTTACCTAGAGAGAAACTAGAGTGCAGTGAAGTTAAGACACAGAACTTGTCACTCAAAGAGAAAGATCTTTTTCTCTGAGTTCTTGGTTTAACATGCTCGTCACTGCACTGCACATTTACTAGATATACTGTAGGACAGGTCTGCTCATGGCCTTGATCTGTAAATGGGGAATGCATGGGGATTAAGTAAGCTGGTTCTCTAAAGTTCCTCAGGTAGAGGGGAGACAATGAAGATGCCCCAGGAAGGGCAGTGGATCAAGAAAACTCCTGCAGCACACACCCCCATTCTGGATTTTATCAGAAACCTGGTCCCAGCTCCTCAAACCATCCCTTGCTAAATTACATGCTGGAGGGAGTTTTCAATGACCTGAAAAGCATTTCCCAAGCAGGCAATTTGGGAAAATATTTAACGAAGATCAATGCCCAACACAGCAGTTGTGAGAAGGAAAAACGAGTCACTTACTTGGTTCTACCTCCACGTAGGTTCCTTTGCCAAAGATCAATGGACTCCACACAGCTGATAAACCTACTCTAAAAACTGCCTTGCTTTTCCTCTTTAAGGCAGTCACGGCCTCAGTTGCCAAGTCATGTGATATTCATTGGATGGGATTTCCTGTCTTGTCTGGCCTAACCTCATTTCTCCTGTCTCGGGGACTGTCCTTCAGGACAAAGCAGGAGGTGGTTCCTGCATCAAATAGAAGTCCAAGCTTTTGCCATGTTACAGCTGGAATGTGTTCTCTGCATGAGAGAGACTGGAAAGGGGTTTCTCAGTTTGATCAGAAGAGAGAGGTGAAATGGTGGTGATAGACTTTGGGCTACACTTAGGCAGGACAAAGATCTAGTGAATTATATACCCTATTCATTCCTACCTTCTAGGGAATTCTCTTTCTTTGCAATGTGGCCAAGTATTGTGCAGTTGCCTTACTTCTTAGTATTAAATAGAATTGGAGTCTTTAGAACATTTTAATAACATATTCATGAATATAAAATTTTAGCAAGCTTTAATGACATTCTCAGATTTAAAAGTGACAGTTAAACTAGCCTCTCTCTATCATCTGTAAAATTCAGAGTGTATGAGGTTGCCTATATGTCCCTCATAAAAATCAGGGAGAGAAAGGCAGGTTAGTTTACAGCTCACAAGGGACTGCAGATCATACTTTGGGTATCACTGAAATGGACAGTGGTTCTTAGTTATGGTGAAGTTGAAAGAGGTCAGAAAACCTGAAATCTAGCTACACTCTGTCTCTTACTAAGTGTGTAATATCGGCCAAGTTCCTTAAATTCATCAAGCCTCATTTGCCTCCTTTATAAAATGAGGGTAATCTCTGCTGTGTTGGGTTTTACAGTTGATGAAGGGCATATAAGAAGCATTCTGTAAACTAAAAAGCCTCAGTGTGATTATTAGAATGTTTATTAGGTTTGACCCAGAGAGAATAAGCATTCCTTGAAGCAGGGGTGCAATTTCACTCAGCTCAGAGTTCCCCAGGGGCAGGGTTGTAGAGAAAAGTTGCTGGGGGAGAACAGAATCCTACTTCTTTGGTGTCTGAGAATAGATGCCCACTGAGGGCTGTGAGGCCTGTCTCCCATGGTCTTTCTAGAGGTCAGGTGTGACCTCCCTTCTATTCTCCCATCTTCCCTCATGAATCCCAAAGCTGAAGTCCAAAAGCCACTTGCTCCAGACACTGATTACCAACTTGACCCCTCCACGTCACTAACTGTCCTCCAGCCACACAGGCCTCCTTGCTATTTTCCCACCCTCAGGCAGTGCTGTGTTCTCTCTGCCTGGAAGTGCTCTTCCTCCAGATCTCTGCATGGTGCTCACTACGTCACCCCCTCAGGCCCCTGTTCGATGCCACCTTTCCATGAGGCTTTTGTGACTCCTCTGTTAAAAGTTGCACACTGCTCCTCCCACTAGTACTCTGTATCCCCTTCCCTGGTTTACTTTCCTTCCAAAGGCATATTGTCACCTAAAAACTATGTATTTCACTTATTTAGTTAGTTTACCATCTGTCTTTTGCCAGTGGAATGAGAGCTCCAACATGCCCCCAGCAGCTAGAAGAGTGCCTGGCATAGAGTGACAGGGACTTGTCACAGGTTGCAGAGCTGGCTCTGCAGGATCCTAGCATACTTTCATTCCTATTTCCTTTTGTCTTACACCACAGCCATAGACCACTTGCCCTCTCATTCATTCATTCATTCATTGGTTCATTCACTCATTCAGCAAACATTTATTTAGGGTCTTCAGTGTATTTGTGGATACAGTAAGGAACAACTTAAGATTTTTTGCCCTCACTGAACAAGGAAGACAGATGTAAGTAGGCTTACAAGGTTTCAGGTAGAGATGAGCGTAAGGAGATTGAGGAATGACAGTGGGTGTGGGGAAGGCCCCACTACAAGAGTACAGACTTGGAGAAGGAGTGGGAGAAAACCATGTGGATTCCTCGAGAAAATGGGAACAGGCAGAGGGAACTGCAGGTCAGAGGCTCCATTTGGAAGATGTCATCCTATTGAGGGAGAGGGAATGCCAATGATGGGAGTGGGAAGTTGCCTCAGAATTTTAGAAACATGTGGATGAGCCCAGGATTTTGGGGGCTCCTCTTCCTGGGGGTGATACTCTGATCATTGGATTTTTCTGAGTTTAGGGACCTTCGAGGGAAACAGCCAAACTCCTTCAGACTCTGTTGGCAGTTTGGAAAAGAGCTCATTAGAGGCCTGAGGGGGAGGCTGGGCCAGGCAGGAAAAAACCTCCATGTGTGCCTCAATCAAACTGCAGTTTCAATAGAAGAGTGGGGTTCTTAAGTGCACAGATTCTCAATCAGACATTGGGTACAAATTTTGACTTTGTTAAGTTGGGGCTTAGGGAACCCCTCCCAACATGCAAAAGTGCAGGTAATAGTATTTCATTCTGCACCATCACTGTGGGAACTGAATAAAGTGACATTCATTATTAAAGCACCTCATCAAGTAGCCTGATACATAGTAGGCACTCAGAAACTGGCAGTTGATATAATGATGATATGTCATAATACATATTATTCTAAGTCCACATCATATCCTACTTTGGTGAAGATGTTCCTGACCACCGTGGCCTTTTTCTAAGCACCTGTCATTGTCACAGTCAGCAGCACACATTTACCTTGTGGCACTTTATGCCATGCTACTGTGTCCTGGTTCTGTTTGATGAAGTTATGTGACCTCCCCAGGTTTTCTCTATCCAGAGGGCTAGAAGGAGTGGTGGGCTTGGGGCTGTGGGTTTGTGAAGACCTGTTCTGTTAGTTTTGTCCTACCCAGGAAGCCTGCAAGTAAGAACTTGAAAGAAGCTCCAGAAGAGAGAAAGCATGGCAAGGAAGGAGGCTTCTGAGAAGAGAAAGGCAGTTTGCTCTTCTCTCTAATACTGGTCGGCAAGAAGAGAAGGCACCATTCAAAGGTCTGGACTCTGCCCTCTCTGGATGCCCTTATCTTTTTATTTCAAAGGATAATGGAATGCACCAGGTCAGTGTTTCCTAAACTTCAATTAATCACATCTCCTTCTGTTTTTTTTTTTTTGTCACATCCATCTGTTGTAAATTTGTTCAATAATTTTCTTCAAATTTGCTTACTTTTTAGCATAAAAGATGATCAAAAGGAAACTTTAAATCACATGGGTTTGGCAACCTAGTTATACTATTCTGATACTATGAAAGCTCAATGAAGATGAAAAGAAAGTCTATGTACCATCTAAAGCCATGTGTTATGCCTTCCACGTGCAGGGAAACACTGAACCAAGTATGTCAGTAAACAAAAGAACTCAATTCATTAGGCAGAACTTGGTGAACCAAGAGAGATAAGGGAAATCAGTCATTAACTTTGTGGGGAATGTGGATAAACTGTTGTTTTAATGAGAAATTTTAAAGCCGATGAGGTCTAAAGGCCAGGGCCTGAATTAGTTGAATTTCCAAAATCTTACTGTGATTAAAAAAAAATTTAATCAGAATTTCCCTGCTCTGACTCTGTTAGCACAATTTTGGATCTTTATCTTCTTCTGGATGCAAAGCCCCTGCCCCCCTTCTCCCGGTAG